AATCTTTACTTTAATTTGATATTCAAAACTTCATACATTCATAATTCACATTAATTGCAATGGTTATGATCTTTCCATCATTCATACATCTTTGTGTAGTAAGAATGTGATAGTCGCTAAATTGAAAAGAAAACTTCTTTGCATATAATTATCAATTAAGAAATATTTAAATAAGCACACTTAGACATCTATCAAATTTCTCTTATTCTCAAGTACAAACAGTTGTGAATATTCCAACGACTAACAAATTCTCATAGTGCATTTCATTGATAAATAACATTTCAAGACAAAAAAAAAAGATTCCAAATATTCATGATCATTACACTTATAATCAATTACATAACTTACCTCTTTGTTGAGTCATCTCCTCCAATTCCTTACTACGAACTATTCTACGATTGTAAGTCACTTCAAAGCTCTTTCTTTGCATAAGGCTAGATAAATCTAAATACCATAACATACAACATTTTAAGAACGTTTACAACTAATTAAAAATTCCATACAACAACTATGCTTGATTCTAAAGTAGCTTACCCTAATCTCTTCTCACTTAGTCTTTCTTCTCTCCAATCACAATTGAATATGTTTGACTAATGAGGAAAGATTGATTAAAGAAATGGAAGCCTTGTAATTAGAAGTCAGAATACAAGGAGATCAGAATACAATACACTAAGCATTAATCAGATGATAGTTCAACTGTCATTGGAGGAAGAAATTAAGGAAGCTCAAAAGAAAAACAATGACTATCAGAAGTTTATGGATCAAGTGCAAAAAGAATTAAAGAAGGAACTCAGTGTTGATGAACAAGGAAGAATCAGGTATAATATGCGATTGTGGATACCAAAGGAGTCAGATTTGATTCAATACATATTGTTTGAGGCACATAGTACTAATTATTCAATTCACCCTATAAGTACAAAGATGTATAAGGATTTGAAGACTTTGTTTTGGTGGTCAGGAATGAAAAGAGATGTGGTAGATTATGTGGCAAAATGTGTAAAGTGTCAAGTTGTTAAAGAGGAACATCAAAAACCCAGTGGATTGTTACAATCTTTACCAATTTCTGAATGTAAGTGGGAAGAAATAATAATGGTTTTTGTTACAGGATTTCCCAGATCAATACAAGGACATGATAGTATATGGGTGGTAGTTGACAGACTCACTAAGTCAGTCCATTTTCTACTTATCCGTCAGACTGATTCAGTGGAGAAATTGGCCAAATTATTTGTGAAGGAAATCATTAGATTACATGGAATTCCTAAGGCTATTGTATAAGATAGAGATGGGCATTTTACATCTAGGTTATGGAAGAGTATACATGCAAGATTGGGCACAAAGTTGAAGTTCAGTACTTCTTTTCATCCACAGATAGATGGCCAATCAGAAAGATTGATACAACTGTTAGAAGATTTGTTAAGATTATGTATTATGGATTTTGGAGGTAGTTGGGAAGATCATGTTTCATTAATCGAATTTACTTACAACAATAGCTATCAATCCAGCATCAAGATGGCTCCCTATGAAGCATTATATGTCAGAAAATACAGAACTCTATTAAGTTGGGTTGAAGTAGGTGAAAGGCAAATGTTAGGTCCACAGTTGGTAGACCAGGCTACTAAAAAGGTAAGATTGATCAAAGAAAAATTAAAAGCAGCTCAAGACCGTCAATAGAAATATTATGATTCCAAGCATAAAATGATAGAGTTTGAAGTGGGAGATTTTGTTTTCCTTAAGGTGAGACCAATGAAGGGTGTTTCTAGATTTGGTCAAGGTGGAAAGCTCAATTTTGGATTCATTTGGGCCATTTGAGATTATTGAAAGAATATGACCAGTTGCCTACAAGTTGGCATTATCTACTGATATGTCGAATATTCATAATATATTTTCATGTCTCAATGCTTAGGAAGTGGGTCACAGATGAAAGTCAGAAAGTTGCTCAAAAAAGCATGGAACTTCAGAAGGATTTGACATATGTGGAAGAACCTGAGATGATTTTGGAAAGAGATGTTAGAAAATTGAGAAATAGAGTGATTCCCTTTGTGAAAGTAAAATGGTTGCACAGTTCAACAAAAAATGCTACATGGGAGAAAGAGATTGAAATGAGACAGAAGTTATCTCACTTATTTGGAGATGTGTGAAAAGTGAATTTTGTGGACGAAATTCTATTAAGGAGGGAAGACTTGTAATTCCCAGAAAATACAGGTAATAGTTAATTAAATAATTTTTCAAATTTCTATTATAGAAATGATATAACTATTATATTAATTATGTTAATTACTCCTTAAATTCCAAAAAACATTTTCTATAGTTGTCTTTGGGTGGCGGTTGTCTAGTGGGGCCACTCTATCCTTATCTAGATGGGATTACACGCAAGCAATAAACCAATTCTTCATTCTCTGTTTTGTTCACGGAAGCATCAGACAGAACCTGTAAGGAGTTCCGGTTCCAAGCAGTCGGCACATTGTTCCTTCACTGTTATTGGGTTTGGATAGTGAAGCATTTGCTATAGCAAAAATAGGGATAACAATTCTTGTTAAGCATTCGACTGATTGTGTTCGGTGGGATTGGAAAGAAAATTATGGTTTTATAGCAAAGATCAGTTGAAGGGCAGTAGGAAAATTTTGTGGTAACTACAGGTAAGTAATGATCGTTTTTTTTTTTTTATGAATTGTAGTGGTGTGAGTGTGGTATTTTGAAGAAGTAGGAAAGAAAGAGCATAATAAAAACCTAACGGAAGGAAAGAAGAAAGACTAAGTGAGAAGAGATCAAGGTAAGCTACTTTAGAATCATGCATAGTTGTTGTATGAAATTTTTAATTAGTTGTAAACATTCTTAAAATGTTGTATGCTATGGTATTTAGATTTATCTAGTCTTATGCAAAGAAAGAGCTTTGAAGTGACTTACAATCGTAGAAGAGTTCGTAGTAAGGAATTGGAGGAGATGACTCAACAAAGAGGTAAGTTATGAAATTGATTATAAGTGTAATGATCATGAATATTTGGAATCTTTTTTTTTTAATGTCTTTAAATGTTATTTATCAATGAAATGCACTATGAGAATTTGTTAGTCGTTGGAATATTCACAACTGTTTATACATGAGAATAAGAGAAATTTGATAGATGTCTAAGTGTGCTTATTTAAATCTTTTCTCAATTGATAATTATATGCAAAGAAGTTTTCTTTTCAATTTAGTGACTATCACATTCTTACTACACAAAGATGTATGAATGATGGAAAGATCATAACCATTGCAATTAATGTTAATTATGAATATATGAAGTTTTGAATATCAAATTAAAGTAAAGATTGGCTAACCTATGAAATGATGTATAACTTACAATTGCAAATGAGGGCAAAAGGGTCCTCATGCACACTGCATTGTAAGTGGGGCAAAAGGGACCCAAAGAAATGAAACCTGCATAATAGGTGGGTCAAAAGGGACCCCACTGAGGCAAAAGGGACCTCTATGTGATTTAATGGTGATAATGTCAGGTTTATCTGAGCTCCATTGAATAAGGTTATGAAAGGATAGCCAAGTCTTTTACTAATGGAATTTGGTATTCAATAAAAACTTTAAGAAAGTAAAGATTAATGCTAATAAAGGTTTATGAGACCTGTACTTGTAGATGTAAGTTTAATGATTAATGATTTCAAAGTCCGATTTACTTCTTTTATTGTATTATAAATGTTAAATAGATTACATAGTTTGCTGAGCCTCATAGCTCACTAGAACTTTCTTATGACTATTGTTACAGGAAAGGGAGAAGAGAAGATTGATGCAAGCTAATTTATACAAGTGTTTCTTCTTTTCTTGTTAAAGTTGTCTTTGTTAGTGGGTTTACTTTTCAAGATATGAAAGCAAATTAGACATGCATTACTTTGGGTTTTTAGTAGTGGCTATGTAAGTATCCTATGTTAAACTTTAAATTATAGTTCCTTCCGTTTGACAAGATGAATAAGAATTATTGGAGGTTTATAAAGATATATCAAATGTTCAAAAGTATGATCAATTGAGGACATGTTTATATTTATGTTTATGATGAAATGGTTATAATTATGTTAGTAATACTCCCCTTACTATTTAGGAGTACTGTGGGGTGTTACATATTTGGACTCATTTGGGCTCGGATTTGATCAAATTTGATGTCATTGAATTTATATCCTTGAGATGTTTAATTAGACTATAAGCTTGTTGGAATTCGAGATCAGATGACCCTAATTTTAATTTTTGAAAGCTCAATCTCATATTTGCAACAAGATTTGTGTCCGATCATGATGAATTTTTTGTGACATATGGTAATTATAAAGCTTTGATTCAACTCCCTGTGCATCCATCTAGTTTTTGGTTTTTCTTTCTAAACCCTAAAACTAATTGGATCATATTTGAATTTGTAGAAAAAAATATAAAATAATTATATGTGACAACTACTTTCTCAAAATTGATGTTTGGAAAAATTTTAGTTAACTTAAGGTTCGCTTGAGATAGTTTTATTATGCTTTGCTCTTCGCAACCACAATTTTTATTTTACTATTATTTTTTCTTTGCTTAACATAAAAAAACACTATTATAAAGTTGCTTTAGTTATTTTTTCCACAACTGCTTTATAAAGTAATAAAAAAGTCACAATCTAAACATTAGTGTATTATTGTGGATTAAAAATTAACCTGATCATCTATTGCATATCTCATTAAGGCTTCATTTGGGACGACTTTTTTATTATAGGTCATATATAATACATCCACTCTCCTAACTGAGCTATGACAATACCGTTGTAGGTGATCAAATAATCTAAAAAGATTTTCTCTAATCTTATACTAATACCATAATTAATTAATATTTTTTACATTAACTGTCAACTAGTAATACAACCCCCCTTTTTTTTCAGAACTATCTTAAATGAAAAATAAAAAAATAAATAAATAAAAACAGCCGAAGGATCCTTAAGAGTCACGCCTCATTTAACCGGCCTTAATGTAATAGTTTATTGCTCTTAATTATATTAATTGAAAGAATTTTCCATCCCTCCTTTTCCTCAAGACCCCCATCTCTTGCTGGAACCCTACTCCCTTGATCCCCTACTGTGTCTCTCCCTCGAATTTTTACTCGCTTGCGTAAGCCGAAGATTTGCCATGGGGAACGCGGAGAAGCTGATGAACCAGATCATGGAGCTGAAGTTCACGGCGAAGAGCCTTCAGCGGCAATCGCGCAAGTGTGAGAAGGAGGAAAAGGCTGAGAAGCTTAAGGTCAAGAAGGCGATCGAAAAGGGAAACATGGATGGTGCTAGAATCTACGCTGAGAACTCTATCCGCAAGCGCAACGAGCAAATGAATTACCTTCGACTCGCCTCCCGCCTTGACGCGGTCGTCGCGCGCCTCGATACCCAGGCGAAGATGCAGGTAATTGGAAAGTCGATGGGTTCAATTGTCAAGTCCCTTGATTCAGCCCTCGCCACTGGAAATCTTCAAAAGATGTCGGAGACGATGGATCAGTTCGAGCGCCAGTTCGTCAACATGGAGGTTCAGGCTGAGTTCATGGAGGGTGCCATGGCTGGATCTACCAGCCTTTCTACTCCTGAAACCGAGGTCAACAGTCTTATGCAGCAGGTCGCCGATGATTACGGCCTCGAGGTATCTGTTGGCCTGCCCCAAGCTGCGGCTCATGCCATTTCCTCCAACAAGGAGAAGGAGAAGGTTGATGAGGATGATCTCTCCAGGCGCCTTGCTGAGCTTAAGGCCAGGGGTTAAATGATGATTATGAATTTGCGATGTTTTTTACAAGGTTAATTCCATACTGGCTTGCCTACATGAAGACAACTATTTGTGTTTTATTGTTTCCTTATGTGCATAATACGCGTCACGTGTTATACATGAATTTCTGTTTAATATCCAGGTGTCGGATGATCTGTTACTGTATAATTATCTGGTTTGACAGAAAGATCTCTCATCTTGGAAACGTTCATATGCTTTGCGTTAGTGCCGTTGTTGCTTTGCTTATTTAACTCCTTTAAGCTGCTTACACCTGCCTTGGTTCATGAGGAACATGTGGGTAATTTATGCTTGATGAATATACTTGTATGTTTATTTTTCTGAATCAACGAATGTAGTTTTCCATGTAAAATTCCATGAGACTCTTTATTTTTTTTTTCCATTTGTTTATTTATTTGCATGTGCATTACATCTTTTGGTTCTTTGTTGGCTTTAATTAAGGCTCAATATTAATTTTCATTATATTGGCTTTATCCCTTTTGTTAGTATGTCTGGCATCTTCAATGACTCTTTTGTGCTATGGGGTTGATGATTCTTTATTTTAGCATTCCGATGGATGCCTAGACCTTAGCGTACATACAACCTTCACTCGTTAATTGATTTGCTGGTTGCGATTGAGATTATTCTGTCCCAACTTTCATTTACTAAGCTTCTTGAGATGAATCACTCTACATTTGTTCATACCTTGCATCCTTCATCTATAAATGCCTTCCTGCTTGTGGTTCATCTGTTGGATCATGGTTTTTTTTCAAGGAACCCTCCTTAGGTTCTTGTGTTTATAAATCCTACTTGAAGCTTTTTTCTTGTTCCATTGATCTGACATGTTTGATTAGGGTCCAAGTTTGCATCTTCATAGAAGGAAAAACCTTTTATAGGTTTTACTAATATAGAAAGCAGTACATTAGCTAAACATTTTGAGTTAGCATTGGTTGGCTAACTTTCCTTTAGCTGACTCAAGCTGTATGGTATTAAGAAGTTCTTTGTTGAAATTGGCATTCTTGTTAATATTAGACTTGTAGATCCTAAGCATATCTTTTGAGAGTTGAGCACAAAGAGGATTACATTAGGTTGTTTAATCTTCATTCTTATTATGATCATGAGTTTCCTGTGTGATTATTGAAATGAACTTCGAAATTTAACCCTAAATAAGAGCATCCTATTGTCCATGTTGGGTCACTTTTCTTAATATGCCTGTCCATTTTATTAGCTATGAATTCTTAACTCTCTGGTAGCTTATTTTGGCAAGCTGATGCTTGTTGTTGTTGCTATAACCAAAGTTTTTAGACCTTTCATGGCTCTAGTGCTAGTTGAAATTGACATTTATGTGAACCTAAGTATGAAAATTGGATTTTTGATGAGGATGATGGATTTTGTCAAGATGTCATTGTTGAGAAGGTTCCCTCATGTTTTCTATATTGTAAAATTCATCACCATAACAAGAAGTCTTGTTCTGTCCTTCATTCTCTCCTTAGGAAGGTTCCATGGGGTGGTATTTATTTGGATCACACATGCAAACTTGATGGACTTAAATGCTTAAAAAAAAAAAAAAGAAGAGAATATGACTTTAAATTATTTGAAAAATATTATAAGGGCTGCCTAGGAAATGAAATGGTATTTATTTATTAAAGGCGGTGGAAAGTAGAATGTTTGAACTTCTAGTCAACTATACAAATAATGAAGGAAGCCTGATTAAGATAAGGTGCTTACATTGTTTTTGGAGGAAGCATTTGAAAAAAAATAATTTAAATCTTGAGTTTTAAAAAGAACTTAAATATTGAGCTCTTTGCTTCTTCATTTTCTTTGAGGGTGGAACATATCCACGTCTGCTTAATTCTTTGAGAATTGGCCACTTCATGTCGATATTCTCACCTTCGCGTGACTTTAGAAAATTTTAAGAGGAATGACATCAAACCATTTGTCAAACCATCATTGGAATCAACTGTGAAATTTTTAGCATTAATGATAGGCACCCATTTGTTTCCATAGCTGAATGATAACTTTTATATGATTCTTTAAAGTGGATGTTCTGGGTAATAGGATGCCACATTACACCATCCAAGAAGAATTCTATATGGTATTCCATGCGCAACTTCCCACCTTTCATTATCTAAGAAGAGTTTTATATGGAAATCCATGTGCAGCTTCATATAGAGAGTGAGCAGAAGCAATTATTAACTCAACGAGATAGGCTTGGAGATGTTTATGTGAAGTATAAATAAAATTGTGATAAACTATGATATATATAGAAGCAAGTCTTTAACCTTTGAGCACTATAAAAGTTGTTAAGGATTAGGTCAACAATGCATTAGAGTAAGCATTTTAATAAACTATTTTATTTTATTTTTTGACTCATGTAATTCTAGATGCATGCTTGAAGATGACGTAAGTGTCTTTATTATATCTTCAACTCTACCTGATAAAAGATGCTCTTTGCTGAGCTCCCTATAAATTTACTATTCAATTTGGATATAAAATTGTTATAGTGACATAATGATTTGCATTTGGGGGATTGGCTATGAGGCTATTGAGGTAGAGAATAGAGTACATGAGATTGATGCGGACTTTGAAGTGCTTGCTTCTATTCTTCTTTCAAGTTTTGAAATTGCATATGATCCTTTTGATCATTTGAAATGAGCAACTTTCTATTTACAATCAAGTATAGAATTGCACCGTCCCTCCTCTTTTCCCTTCTCATTTTCATAAATTGTTGAAAATATGCTGATTTTTATGAGTACAAGTTCTTTATTTGCACTTGGACTTACTGCTCTATCCAGCAAATGAAGATGTACACCAAGAAGTCTAAGGCCTCAAAGGAAGACCTCTGAGAGGATATTTGAAGATATTGAAGATGAGAAAGATGTAAAGGAAACTCATTAAACACCTAAGGATATCTCACTTTGCGTAATGGATACTCTTTTTGTGTCTTAAATAATTTGTGGACAACATCAGGATATTCGTATGGCTACGTGACCTTTGATTTCAAACACTCAAGTAATTTCTGTTTTAATTATCTATTTACATGTTCAAATGCTCTTCATTATTTAATCATAAGCTTAGTTGAAAATTATTAGATGGATGCTTGTTTGGTCTAGATTGGATGACATAACAATGCATTTTTTTATAATATAAAAATTGTTAAAACTAGAATTCGAGAGGAAAGCTTGAATTTTATTAAGCAATCTACTCCCTATTTATAGATCTATACAAGGTATATCAATAAGGAAACAAATAACTCTTATAATAATATGAATACAATTATTCCTAAATCAATGGGAGGAATTAATGCAATCCTTGTAGTCTTCCCACGGATTACTGTTCACAGCCGTTGATATCTTTGGGATCGTAAGGTTGAGATTTAACAAAATAACTTTGTGAATAATTGATGTAAAATATTATGAAACTGTAGAAATTTTTACCTTGCGCTTTCTGGTGGAAATTGAGACCTAGTGTTACTGTTTTCTGTCTCTTCCTCGCATGCATATTATTTCTATGTTTTACTTGATCTCAGCGTATATCAGCAAATACGATCATTTTTATACGCCAAAATAGAAAGCAAATTGTAATATGGTTCCTTGTTTGGACAGCTGCAAACTGTGGAGAAAATAACAACATAACTAGTTGAAATTCTTGTAGTGGCATACCTGCTATTCCGGTAGTGACTAGGAGAGGAGACACTTCCGTAACTTTGCTTATACCTTTTGGGTGGTTTGATAAGTTTTGGGAGAGAATAGAGAGGAAGAGGAATATTGTGAAAAGACTAATGCCATATGATGAAATGTGTTACCGTGGTTTTCATGGATCTTAAAGCCTATTTAAGAACTATATTCTTGCCCAATTTTGAATTTGTCTAATATTTACCAGATTAATAAAAATCATATACCTATTAATAGGGAAAAATAAAATAAATACATATCCACTCTTAGATATTGATATTCGATAAGAAAACTTCTTATTGCAAATGCTTACCATATTTTGATAATTAGTAATCAAATATACTCAATAAAAAATTCCACGAAATTTTTGTCCTTGATTTGGGCATCCAGGAGAGAGTGAGGTAAATATCTTTAGGGAGTGTCAAGAGTTCTAATTGAGTCTTATACTCCTTCGATTTGGCTGACCACCCCTTTTTTAAGAAGCTTGATTTGAATGTTGTGCTTATTTTCTCACGGGTTGCTTAGTTTTGAAGTTAGTTCTGACTTATTCCAGAAATCTCCTTATTTTGTATGATTGCCACAAGGTCTAGATTGTATCATTATTAAAATTTGGGCTTAATTTGGACATTTAAAAATTAATAAAGTCCCAAATTCTAACTCTCTTTGATGATTCGTGTGGAAAATCATGCTTGAAAATTTTTTTTATTTTGCAAGAATTAAGGTCCACGTTGATACGTCCCTTGCTTGTATTTTAAGGCCATTTACCTTTTATTGAACATGGGCTAAGTTCCATATTTTATTTTGATTCTCAATTCAGCCGCAAGTGGGCTTGAGTATTGAGTTTTGAGAGTCTCCTTGATTGTGAGAAGAATTATAGGTAGTTGCAACCTTCAAAAATGAAGCTTCATGTGTTTTGAAATTGCTTGATCAAGCTCAAGCTTTTTATTTTTTATTTCTATATTGTTTCGATTTGGTTCAATATTTATTCACTCTTGACTTTACTTGCCCTAACACTGTTGGTTCTATTCAAAATAAACTTGACTTGTTTGGATATTGACCAATGCACTGTAAAGATTTGAATTCTTTTTATTATTTCTGCACCACTTTATTGGATTATTGGTTATTAGGCACTGTTTAGGAAATCCTCCATCTGCTATGAATAACTACGATGTCATTTGAACATGATATTCAAGGTTTTTGGGGCATTTTTATGGGAAGCTCTTAATTAAGATCCATATTTAGTCAGCCAAATTAAAAATTATTTTCATATATGCGAGCAACCCAGATATTCCATAGGAAACTTACATTCCCTTTTCTAAGTGTCTTGGGTCAAACCTGATAGGTATTCTAATTACGTACGCATAGGAAAATCAATAGCAACGAGCATACAACACTGGTATTCTAGGAAAATCAAACGAAACGAGCATACAAAAATCCCTGTCAACTGTTCTTATTGATATCCTGGTTTAGTTATGTGAGCTGAAATCCTTTCATGTTGAGTACAGCCTCAGAACAAGTTTCATTTCCACAATTGCATCCTTATATGGACATCTT